ATACATGTATATCCTATTTTCATAACCCTATGAATGAAGCCAGAAAAGCTTATTTCTGGCTTTCTTTCTTTCCTTTGTTGTTTAACGCCGCACTCAGCAATATTCCAGCTATATGACGGCGGTCTGTAAATAATCGAGTCTGTACAATAAAATCCAGTGATTAATATTATAAGCATCGATCCCCGCAATTGGTATTGATGACATGCATCAACCAAGTATGCGAGCCTGACCACCCGATCCCGTTAGTCGCCTTTTTACGACAAGCATAATCGCCTTTTACAGCAAGCATGGATTGCTGAAGACCTATTCTACCCCGATCTTCACAGGTCCCTGATAATATATATTAAGATAAATACCCTGCACCTATTTGCTGCCATAACCTTTTTGGAAAGACACATTTCTAAACAAAACAGTCCACTGAGATTACAATGAGCGAGAGAAACTTGTCCTGAATTAGTGATAATTAATATGGCCATTGTGACGTCACTTCCGCTGCAAAGTTTTGATGGCGAATGTGTCGAAGGTATTTATCATAATAGCCAGAAGATGAAATACACTTGATAATCGAGGATGCGATTGTAACAAATGATATTTTAACTCGCAATCGATCTGTTGCCATTTGGACGGTTGATAATTGTAACGCATAATCATATGATGCATTGATGTCATGACGCTAAATCGTGAAATTAAAACACTGATTATTCTTTATTTGTGGGAGATTTTATTAGCTCGTGGCGGTGCTTATATGAATACCATTACTGATAGTCTAAATAACATGTACAATTAGTAATACGTTTTCAAAGACCACTCACATCTATAGATCAAGTTGGTGTTAAGAAATGTCTTCGTTCAATATATAACACAAAGTGCACATGAATATATATCATCAATGGCATAATTTATATACTCAACAACAAAAGTTCCTGTGACATTGAATAAGATTTATTGCAAAGTTATGTTTTTCACCAAATCTGAAACAATTTCGGTTTGCAACAGATAAAAGACTCCTGTTAGTGTTCAAATGGTTCAGAAAATGCAAGATTTCATAAAAAACATGAACTTGCCAAAATGTCAATTTACAAATCAACAGCGTGTGTGTCCGCCTCTGATTGCGATGTAATCAATACATTTTCGTCTCATGGAATGGACCAGGCGTCGCACAAAGTCCTGTGGGATATCTGCTAGAGCATGTTTCGAAGTTCCTGCAGTGTCTGTGGAACACGTGGTTGACCTCGAAGGCGCCGATCCTTCTTATCCCACATGTGCTCGATTGGTGAGAGATCATGGGAGCGAGCCGGCCAGGGGATGACATTCACGTTGTTTTGTTGAAGAGAATCCTGAACAAGTTAAGCAATACGAGGCCGGGCGTTGTCATGTTGAAAGGTAATGCCTGGGCCAGGACAACGCAAAAACGGTAGAACAATAGGGGCGATGATCTCGTCGCGGTAGCGCTGTCCATTGAGATTTCCCTCAACCACTATCAAACGGGTCCTCTGTCTTGCTGTAATCCCACCCTATAGCATAACGCTGCCGCCCCCGAACCGATCTTCCATGACACAATGATTGACGTAACTTTCACCTCGACGTCGGTACACTCGAATCCGCCCATCGCTGTGGCTGAGGTGAAAGCGAGACTCGTCAGTAAATAGAACTACTGCATGGCCGTCCAGCGGTGACGCTGTCTGCACCACTGTAGACGTGCTTGACGGTGGTTTCCTGTAAAAATGGGACGTCTGGCGGGTCTTCCGGAGACAATCTCTGCACATCTGAGGCGACGACGTACGGTTTGTGAAGATATTCGTCGAAGGCCAGGGATGCTTCTTGAACTCACTGTTGCTGGCTGGAATCGATTTCGTAGGTGTGTTGTTCGAATCCAGTTGTCTTGTCGATTATTGGTTACCCGTGGCCTGCCACTACGAGGATGGTCTCTGGCTGCATTCGTCTGTTGGCAACGTTGCCATAAACACCAAATGGTGTTTCTGTAGACGTTAAATTGTCTTGCAATATCACGTTGACTCGATTCTGCTTCAAGCATACCAATGGCTCGCAGACGCTCATTTTCGGACGGGCGTGGCATTTCGTAATGTTGAATAATTGCGTAATTTTGTTGTTTTTCTGAGTGGTTGTTGTCAGCACGATGCTAAACAATGCATATGGAATCCCGTTAACGCACACGTTTTCATACCCATTCTTTGGTAGTGAAATGCATGGGGCTTGCATAAAAGTCAACTTTTGCATGGAATGCATGCTTTTCTGTAGCAGTTGCGTTTTTGTGACTTGATTCCATACATGTACTACAATATTGAAAACATAACTTTACTTGTTTGAAAAATACACTAAAATATTGGTGTCACAGGAACTTTTGTTGTTGAATATATAACAAGGTGGTTATAAAATATAATAAAATGTAGTTAAGCAATACCAAACAACGAATATGAGCCTCATATCGGTCATGAGTTGTTGAAATATATCGCATATATTCTCAACATTAAACAAAGAACATCAGACTGCACACTCAGATGGACATGGTGCATTGCAACGACACGTGATACCAAAAGACAGGACAATAAACAATTGTGAATAATGTTTTATGGTAACCATGTGGAGGACATTTCCAAATATGATGCATCAGTGACAAAAATTATGTCCGATGCAATCCCCTATTTGACTAGAACCATTTGTCCCCGTGTTTTTTGTAGGTGAACTGAATTGCCTTTGCATGTGTTTGTGACGGATGCCGCCGGTGGGGCAGGATATGCTCACCTTTTCGCGAACACCTCGTGTCATTACTTTTTGATAGTGAGTCATAAACACATGCTCATGATATAGTTTGAATCGTACAATCAACTCTGATTTATGCAGAGATTTCTATTGATTTTGTAGTTTTATTGTCAAGCTGAATTTATAGATGTTTATTCAAAAGTGCAAGCAGTATACTGAATTTGAGTGAATAAAGAAGCAGCGTCACTTTTAATAATGTGAAAACAATATCACGGTGGTCGACCCAATCAGTGGCTTTCACAAATTCTGTCATCCATTTAGTGTGGTTGGGTTGTGTTGGGTGGGGTTTGGAATGGTTTTTTTGTTTTACGCCGCACTCAGCAATATTTCAGCTATATGAAGGCGGTCTGTAAATAATCAAGTCTGGACCAGAAAATCCAGGGATTGACATCATGAGCATGGATCCACCGAATTGGGATCGATGACATGCATCAACCAAGTCAGCGAGCCTGACCACCCGATATCGTTAGTCGGTTTTTACGGCAAGCATATTCGCCTCTCACGAAAAGGATGTGTTGCTGAAGACCTATTCTACCCCGGATCTTCACGTGTCTTCAGGGGAAGTTCATGTTCGATATTTTCTTGCGAGATTTTAACCCCGTCCGTCCGCTTCTCAATGGAGACGAATTTTCTAAGCAATTATGTAAGTTAGAGAAATAAAATTTCAGACAATGATGTTACAGGTCACGATCTCAAAGGAATTGGAGTCTTAATTTCATGTTTTATGGCCCTTTTAAATTGGTGCTCCGAGACATAGAGACACGTTTTCTCTGAAACTACTGAAGTTACATGAATAAAACTTTGCAAGCGTATCCAAAAGATACTTATCAAGACTGAGTTCAAAATCTGGTGCCATAAATTATTTATTCTACAGAACGGGTTGTTTGTGTACTTGTGAAGGAGTAACATTTTTAAGCACTTTAACTACCCTCGCGTAACCTTGATTCGTGAATATAAGAAACGTTCACCCAAATTCGTGGTTTAAATGTCCGATTTTGTTTTGTATACTCACTGATCATTTAATTCATCTATTAAACTCTAAGAAAATGACGAAGATTCCACTCGTAACTGAAAAGTTATGTTTACCGAAGCCATTTGCATTCATCAGACATTCATGTGCACACAAAACGTAGTAGTTTATTGTATCGCTATGTACGAAAGCCCAGTACCGTTACTGTGTAATATTTTTTTATGAATTCGAATCTATACCTACCAGCATTTCTGTCGGCTGATAACAGTTGAAAAGCATAGTTATTCAACACACAACTCCAAAAACGATTCTTGTCAATAAAGTTGTGTACACTAATTACAGGTAAGTTTGTGTCCTCTTTCAGTCTCAACTCTTCCCATGGTTTGCATGGCAGACCATGGCAAGGGCAAGAAAATGTGTCATGAGTCCGAAGCACGCGCACTGGACAACACTACTGTAAGTGCACCCAGTGGTTACAGTCATGATACTTGCACTGCCCCCATTGTACGAAAACAGTGAAGTGCATTGGGCCAGTTCTGCGGGCTAATAGTGATGACACACGCAACATGTTTCGTCATCGGATATTGGCGAGTCCTCACTGTCACTGCTGTATAATGAATCGTGACGACCGACGATCTCTCCGAAGAAATCTCGTAGGCCACGGCTTTTCTTCAGCCAACAATTTTCGGTGCGACATGGGACTGGTTGATTCCTTTGTCATCTACGTTATAAATTTCTTCTGGTCTTGATTGGAAGTTCATCAACATACTTGTTGGTGCATTCCTTTGAACTAGCTTTAGCACGATGTTTCGTGAGAGACTTGGCACTCCTAACTTTCAACTCCGGCCATCGCTCCAACAGACCATACATATAACCACTTGACAGATAATGGATGGGCCAGGTCACGTTTTCCTAAGCAAAGTTAGACCCTAATTGGATAACCTCTTTCCTGGTATATCCGTATCCGATGGATGCCATGTATGTTACATGGTCAACAAGTCTAGTTTTCTTGCACCGCATCAAAAATTGGAGTCGCACCTGACTTGACTGTGGGAACATCAATCTTGACTTTTATCCTGTCTCTCAGTGTTTGCTCGGGTACAGAGAAGTTTAATGCCGCTTTATGACCTGCAACTTTATAGTTTTTTACATCTAAGTAAGCATTAGTCAAAGCTGTAGGCGAATAACTTTTGTATCCCTTCCGTGAAGGCGTCGGTGAACCCTATGAAAATGAGATAAAAAAAAAAAAGAAGCCCGAAAATGTTTCCATATATTTTTAATTTTAACAGACATCCTCAAGTCACGTGACTTATGTTTATTGACATCTCGACAAGCAGACGAGAAGGGTGATGCTTACGGTATATATTTTATTTGATGTTTTGTAAACATGAAATTTTGTACGAGTGATCTATGGCTATTTATCTCAGTGTTGGACATTTGGTTTTTCTGTACTTACGTGTAATACAGCGATTCGGAACACTTTTGTCAGCAGGGCGTGGCAGTGCATGTACATCAAAAGTACTTAATTTACGAGATATCACGATTACCGCGATCAACGAATCAAGGTTATCCACGAATTTAGTTAACGGTTCTTCCAGTCTTTCATTTTTGTAGTAGTTTATATGGGTGTCACGAGCCCTTTCTCACCAGCTTTGCTAACCTTACAAAAGTAACCAAAGCCGTATTTTAAGCACAATTACGGATTATCATCTGATACGTGGAGCTATCGACAGCCGAGCTCGATGGTACAGCGTACCAAGCTGTTGTGCTCAAGTAGCAAGTCTTACTGTTAAATTCATAGTCCGCGGTAATACAAGTGAAATCCGATGCTGATAGACACAGGCTGGTGCACTCCTCTATTGTTTGAATGGAGGAGACAACTCTGTCATTATAACCATCAAGGAGTTTGTTGTTGAAGATGGTGAAGCCTGATCCATATCCAGAGCTACCACAGTCTGAAATAAGAAGCGATGTATGACATGATTACAGGGGGTTGATCTTAATTACAATGGGGAGTTCCGGGGCCAAAACAGGGACTCATTCATGAAGGAATTATCCTGTTTCTTGGGTCAATAAAACATCATATTGCCCGAATTGTATTACTTCAGATAAATACATACCTTGGACACAACTGCTGCCACGTTTCACATACATGATGTCACACACACAGTAGCCAGTATTGCAGACCACGTTCGTCCCAGAACAAGAGGAGCTGCACGTGCCAAAGTTAGGATTGTCTATACAACAGAAAAGGTATTCATTTGAACAGACAGTATTAAAGTTACCATTATCAAATAAATAAAACCAGAAAACAGCGTTTGCACATTCCCCCTAATGAGGCACATTAGATAGTACATATAAACTATAAAATGGTTGGTTGGTTGGTTTGTTGTTTAACGCCGCACCCAGCAATATTCAAGCTATATTACGGCGGTCTGTACATAATCGAGTCTGGACCAGACGATCCAGTGTTTAATGTCATGAGCATCGATCCACGCAATTGGGATTGATGACATGCATCAACCAAGTCAGCGAGCCTGACCATCCGATCCCGTTAGTCGCCTTTTACGACAAGCATAGTCGCCTTTTACGGCAAGCATGGGTTGCTGAAGATCTATTCTACCCCGGAATCTTCACGGGTTAACTATAAAAAAAGAGTCCCATGAAGCCTTTAGAAGAGAGGCGACTAACGGGATCGGTTGGTCAGGCTCGCTGACTTGGTTGATGCATTTCATCGTATCCCAATTCCGTGGATCGATGCTCATGACATTAATTACTGGATTGTCTGGTCCAGACTCGATACCACAGGTGACACTCATCACAAACACGCGCAAAGGCAAGCCAAATTTTGACCTGGAAAAACACGGGATTATACGGTACATAATTACATATTATTAGGCAATTACATCGGAATAAGTTTAATTCACTAATGAGTTAGATTTGGATTTGTACGCTGATTTTTTTATCGTCATTCTGTGGTTTCGATAACCTTTTCTTATCAGTAATTCCAATGGGCAACCTTACCAGAACACGAAGAGAAACCACAGTTCCCACTGGTCGTGCTGGAGAGCGTCTCCGAACAGTCCGCTCCTCCGTAAGCTGGAGCAGGGTTGGTGCAGGTTCGGGTTCGTGTCCTGGTTCCTGTTGCTGTGGTACCGCAAGTCTGTGAACATACCAATGTGCCCCACGCACCCCAAGCGCTGACGCCTCCGTCAACTGAAAAATATATCGAAAGACCTGTTAATGATTATCGATTTATTTGGAAATGTCCGCTGATCGTGGGTTATTTATCCGTCACTGTGTGGCTCCGATAACATTGTTTGTTTGTTGTTTAACGCCGCACTCAACACTATTCAAGCTTTTAAGACGGTGATGTGTAAAAAAATAGTCTGGACCAGACAATCCAGTGATTGACATGATCATCGATCCACCCAAATCGGATACGATGACATGCACCAACCAAGTCTTCGAGCCTGACCACCCGATCCCGTTAGTCGCCTCTTACGACAAGTATGGGTTGCTGAAGACCAGTTCTACCCCCTCGATATAAGACTGAAATAATGCCGATGCGACGTTAAATTTTAAACTCACTCACTCCACCCCAGATCTTCACGGGTCTGAAAGGATTTGAAGCTTCCACGGTTAATCACAGGAACATTCTTGCTATAGGAGGCGGCTAATCAGTTGCGGTGATATCGTTGATTGTTTTAATTGCTTGTTAGAACTTTGGTCAGGCTTGCTGACTTGATTGATGCATGTCATCGTATCCCCCCAATTGCGTGGATTGATGCTCATGATGTCAATCACTGGATTGTCTGGTCCAAAATCGATTTATTTTTTTACAGACCGCCGTCATATAGCTGGAATATTGCTGACTGCGGCGTTAAACAACAAACAAAGTAGTTTCTGAGAAAACGTGTCCCCATTTTACACAGTATGCACTAAGGTGAAAAGGAAGCACGGAGCAAGGTAAGGAAGCCTTTTAGGGCCATTTGTTTTTTTCGATACTATCTTGCAATTTCAAGATACTCAGTTGAAATTTATTTCAAGATGTTATCTTGAAATTTCAAGATACTATCTTGAAATTTTAACTTAGTATCTTGAAATTTCAACTTAGTAACTTGAAATTTCAAGATAGTATCGAAAAGTTAAAAAAAACAAATGGCCCTTTTTGGGCTTCCGTTGCAAAGGCCAAAACACTGTCCAAAATAATTGACGGGACCAATTTTGCACTCTATTGAGATCATGACCAGTAACATCAGTGTAAAATTTCACGTGTCTGCCTTATATAGTTTTGGAGAAAATGTGTCCCCGTTGATAACCGGGGCGGTGGGGTAGCCTAGCTAGTGGTTAAAGCGTTCGCTCGTCACGCCGAAGACCCGGGTTCGATTCCCGACATGGGTACAATGTGTGAAGCCCATTTCTGGTGTCCCCCGCTGTGATATTGCTGGAATATTGCCAAAAGCGGCGTTAAACCTTTTGAGAACCGGACGAAGGATAATATCGAAATAGACACTGAAGTCGTAACATTAAAATATTGTTTTATTCTATCCATCGTCAATACTCTACGTTTCTCCCGCGAATACATACGATCACTTTGCAATGGAGTCGCTATTGCTAACCAATGAATCAAACCATGTGTTTGTGACGCGTGTAGCCACTGGGATGTGATACGCTCGCCTTTTTTTATGAACATCTCATATCATCACCATTTGATTATGATTCACAAACATGGATTAATGATTTAGTCGGAATCGTACAATCTTGAAAAAAAGTGAGCGTACCCTGCCCCACAGGTGACACTCATCACAAACACGCGCAAACGCAAGTCAATTTTTTACCTGGAAAAACACGGGATTATACGGTACATAATTACATCGGAATAAGTTTTATTCCTGATGAGTTAAATTTGGATTTGTACGCTGATTTCTAATCGTCAATTTGTGGTTTCGATAACCTTTTCTTATCAGTAATTCCAATGGGCAACCTTACCAGAGCACGAAGAGAAACCACAGTTCCCACTGGTCGTGCTGGAGAGCGTCTCCGAACAGTCCGCTCCTCCGTAAGCTGGAGCAGGGTTGGTGCAGGTTCGGGTTCGTGTCCTGGTTCCTGTTGCTGTGGTACCGCAAGTCTGTGAACATACCAATGTGCCCCACGCACCCCAAGCGCTGACGCCTCCGTCAACTGAAAAATATATCGAAAGACCTGTTAATGATAATCGATTTATTTGGAAATGTGCGCTGATCGTGGGTTCTTTATCCGTCACTGTGTGGCTCCGATAACATTGTTTGTTTGTTGTTTAACGCCGCACTCAACAATATTCAAGCTTTAAGACGGTGATGTGTAAAAAAATAGTCTGGACCAGACAATCTAGTGACTGGAATGATCATCGATCCACCCAATTCGGATACGATGACATGCACCAAGTCAGCGAGCCTGACTACCCGATCCCGTTAGTCGCCTCTTACGACAAATATGGGTTGCTGAAGACCAGTTCTACCCCCTCGATATAAGACTGAAATAATGCCGATGCGACGTCTAAAAGGATTTGAAGATTCCGCGGTTAATCACAGGAGAATTCTTGCTATAGGAGGCTGCTAATCAGTTGCGGCTTATGTCATCGTATCCCCCCAATTGCGTGGATTGATGCTCATGATGTCAATCACTGGATTGTCTGGTCCAGAATCGATTATTTATAGACCGCCGTCATATAGCTGGAATATTGCTGACTGCGGCGTTAAACAACAAACAAACAAAGTAGTTTCTGAGAAAACGTGTCCCCATTTTACTCAGTATGCACTAAGGTGAAAAGCACGAAGCAAGGTAAGGAAGCCTTTTAGGGCCATTTGTTTTTTATTTTTTTCGATACTATCTTGCAATTTCAAGATACTAAGTTGAAATTTCAAGATACTAAGCTCTTTGACGGTGATGTGTAAATAATAGAGTCTGGACCAGACAATCCAGTGATTGACATGAGCATCGATCAACCCAATTCGGATACGATGACATGCACCAACCAAGTCAGCGAGCCTGACCACCCGATCCCGTTAGTCGCCTCTTATGACAAGCACTGGTTGCTGAAGACCAGTTCTACCCCCTCGATATAAGACTGAAATAATGCCGATGCGACGTAACCCGTGAAGATTCCGGGGTAGAATAGATCTTCAGCAACCCATGCTTGCCATAAAGTGTGACTATGCTTGTCGTAAAAGGCGACTAACGGGATCGGGTGGTCAGGCTCGCTGACTTGGTTGATGCATGTCATCGATCTCAATTGCGTGGATCGATGATCATGAAACCAACACTCGATTATTTACAGACTGCCGTCATATAGCTGGAATATTGCTGAGTGCGGCGTTAAACAAAACACAACCAAACAAACAACAGATGCGACGTTAAATTTTAAACTCACTCACTCCACCCCGGATCTTCACGGGTCTGAAAGGATTTGTAAGTTCTTGCTATACGATGCGGCTAATCAGTTACGGTGACATTGTTGATAGTTTTAATTGCTTGTTAGAACTTTAACGCCGCTCTCAGCAATAATCAATCTGTGTGACAGCAGTCTGTACACACTGGACCAGACATCATGATATGTTTCTTTGTTGGTTGTTTAACGCCGCACTCAGCAACAATCCAGCTTTATGACGGCGGTCCGTTAATAATCGAGTCTGAACCAGACAATCCAGGGTCGATCATGAGCATCGATTCGCGCAATTGGAATACGATGACATGCATCAACCAAGTCATCGATCTTGACCACCTGATACCGTTAATCGCTTCTCACGACAAGCATAGTCGCCTTTTAAGGCAAGATTGGGTTGTGCAGACCTATTGTGTGTGATACTTACTCGGACACTGGGGCAAACCACAGTTGACGTCACCTGTTTCCGAGAGGCTTTCTGTGCAGCTTGCCCCTCCTTTATCTGGAGACGGGTTCGTGCATGTTCGAGTCCGGCTTTTCGTTATGGTGTGCGAGGTCCCACATGTCTGAGGGCAAGCTGGTCCAGTCCACTGGCCCCAGGCGCTGACACCGCCGTCAACTGAAGTCAATATAAAAATTGATTTCGTAACGTCAATGATTTCTTTATGATTAGTCATTTGAATTGACTCAAATATATAATTAAACACTTAATTTTTAATTGATCTGCAAAATTGCCTCTCTCTACATTTGCCTTGAAGAAATTTACGAAATTTCTGCATTGGACCATGAAAAGGGGCCGTCATGTATTTGCAAATTACAAATGGTTAAAAAGATTGTCTCGAAGAACCAAATAGTCATTTTAATGAATGTTCTCAATGCTACAAGCAGATTACTAAGGATATCAGTTTAAACAAGTATTTGTCACAGAGTGACGAAATATCCCCCCCCTGTACACCATAGTACCAAATATGAAGACAATCCAGCGATTAGTTCTTGAGATATTGTGGCAACACCGTTTTCCGACTCCAAAAACAGATTTGCCTGCTGTGACCTTGAAAATGGGGTCAAGGTCACCAAATCTGACAGGTGTATGCGGTGTCTGTATATACACTATAGTTCCAAATATGAAGACAATCCAGCGATTAGTTCTTGAGATATCGCGGCAACACCGTTTTCTAACTCCAAAAGCAGATTTGCCTGCTGTGACCTTGACAATGGGGTCAAGGTCACCAAAACCAACTGGTGTCTGCGGTGTCTGTATATACACCATAGTTCCAAATATGAAGACAATCCAGTGTTTAGTTCTTGAGATATCGCGGCAACACCGTTTTCCAACTCCGGGGGATAAAAACCAAAAGCAGGAATGAAACTAAAGATATTCTTCAGATTCTTTAGATTATGGAATTTTCTATCAATTCTTGAAATATGAAAGTCATCAGTACACATTGAACAATCTGTGTCGTTCCGGTGTTCTAGCCACATTCGAAGAACCGTACTGATATCAGCATTATCATTCTTGTTTCCATAACATTTGCGCTTACGTTTGTAATGGGCTGTGGTTATCTCTTGTGGCTGCAGTTTGATAGATTACTATCGCCTTGCTTGTACACAGCAAACGTAATTCAAAATGATCACGTCGTTTTTATCAGTTTCAGCAAAATCTGTAAATGCACTATGAGTCATGGTTTGTTACAAGCCACCGTCGCATGGCAGGAGTACTGCTGTGCGGCGTCAGGCAATAAAGACTTACTTCTTGAGCAAATTGTGTGAATGGTGGGAGCTGGCAGTAGGGCCAGGCATGCTCACCATTATCACGAACATGGTTAGCAAGTCCCTACTGCCATCTCCTGATTTGGGTTTAATGTTTGTTGTTTAACGCCGCACTCAGCAATACTCCAGCTACACAATGTATATGACGGCGGTCTGTAAATAAACGATTCTGGACATCATGACCATCGATCCACGCAACTGGAATACGATTGCCAGTAGTCCATTCATATGATTTTCACAGCTCCATGTATTTTGCCCTGTATGTCTAATGGAGTATGTTTCTGCAAATAATCTGGACTGGTTTTTTTCTGGCATTGACAATTAAAGTTCTAATGCCAGTTCCAAGTGTAACTTAAGATTGTTTCTATTACCTGGTGCGCAAGTTGAATACATGTTGAATCCTGATTCACTGACATACGTCATTGCTGCTGGTGTTGTGAGGGGCACGGTGAATGCAACACATTCTCCACTGGCCTCCTTGTATCCAAAGGACTTTATCACGCTGAAGAGGGAGCAGCGCGCTGCACATTCGGCACGACTAGTCATATCAGTCTTTGTCCACAGAACACCCGCACTAACTCTCTTGTTCTGGAAATCTGACAATGGCTTTACCTCGCATAGACTACAAACAGAGGCAGAACTTTTAACAAGACAAAAACCTCCAAAAGTTATCAAAATCAGTCGTAAAGGCATGATTGAAAACTGTCTCCTTCTTCCCACTTGGCAACATGCAATATGCGTGGTGTTCGTGGTTGAACAGCTCAACAGCTTCAATCGATATACCTTTTCAATATGCAGATAACAAGTTATACACTGGAACAGTGACTAACTGCGACTATAGAGACAACAAGCAGTTAAGGTATTTGTCATGGAAGTGTAGACTTACAAGACAAAGAAATCCCACAAGTAACTGTGGTGGGATGTTTTGTTTTTCTAACGTTAAGAGTGTCTCCAGAGTCCTATGATAAAGGCACCGCAGGAACCTACCTTGTGATGCATCTACTAACCTTAGATGACCTTTTACTTCTTAAATATTGTTTTGTTTGTTTGTTTGTTGTTGACTATGGAAATGATTTTGTCGCTTTTATTACTATACGACCCGGGGTAGAATAGGTTTTCAGCAACCCACGTTTGCCGTAAAATGCTACTACACAGTAATAAATCGGTGTTTATATTTTATACATTTCGTGTTTACATTTTAAACACTACACTGCATAATAACAATACGACATGCGTATAGTTAGATCGCACATAGCCGTTAATACCTGAGCGTTTAAGTTTTAAACACTGCTAACTTGCAGTGTAAGAAACTACTGAAACATATATAATGTAAAGAGTCTGCCACGTAACATGTGTTTGGACGCAATATTTTAACTTTTTGATGACACGCCATGTTGTAAAACTGATTTATCTATTCAGTGTCGTAGTTTTGCGGTTCAGTGTTAAACTTACATGTCAAAAAGTTGTTCGCGGAGTTTTACTATCACCTGGTATGATTTTTTAAAGTTAAATTAAAACATGAAACTGGCCAATGTTAAACACAGGTGTTTAGATCTACCATTCGCAGTCTAAACATACTGTGTTGAAAATACAATCCGCATTCGGGTCAATACACACCGTGTCGGAATTTCCCGATATCATGTGAATGAATATGACAACACTTCAAGCATTTACCACAATGAACTCTGGGTAGGAACGTGACATATGACGTCATTATGTAACAACCACAGGCAAAATTTGAACCACATCATACGAAACCACATCATACGAAACAACAAGAATGACCCACACTTTTTAGTGTCATGTACATGGAATGGTTGTTGTTACACGACAAAGAGTAAAACAGCATTCCGCAAACATGTTTTCAAAAAGCATTCACAGAATGAAATGCAGGATCTAGATGGTAACGACACTGGATTAGAGACAATGTTACCTGACCCAGACACACTTTCTTCACTTCCAACTCTATCACACAAATGTTACACAGAACTCAATTTTGTAATGTCCTTACAGGCAAAACATAGTTTGTCAAACAGAGCAGTTGATGCCATCATTGGCGAGGCATGCCACCTGTTGGAAGAGAATTACAAGCTCATTATGGAGAAGGATAAAGAATGTTTAGTTCAGCATGGCCTCAATGACAAACTCTTAGATAATATTGAAAATGACATGCATTTTGAGGCATTAGCAAATCAGCACAGAAGGGGAAAAAACTATTAAGAACATTGCAGATTGATAGACCCTGTAAAGGTCTATTTAGGTACTACTACATCAGTTAAACGATGCAGGGTGTTACGAGAACCAAGATATGGCTACATCATTCCTTTTGAAAAGTAAGTAAAATCACTGCTTGAATTACCAGAAATTAGGAAATGGCAACAACAATCACATGTGTACGGAAGCCTTTTAGGGCCATGTCCAAAAAAAATTAGTATCTTAGTATCTGGAAATTTCCACTTAGTATCTGGAAAATTCTACATAGTATCTTGAAATTTCCACTTACTAACTGGAAATTTCCACTTAGTATCTGGAAATTTCTACTTAAATGCTTTAAATAGAATCAACAGCTATATTGGAATACCTATTAACCTCAAACTATGAAGAGGTGTGTTAACATTATTCGAACATACGTATGCTTAGACTTGAGCAATAAAGACATTCTATATTTTCTGGCTCATGATCACAAGATTTTGTGAATAAGTGAATGCACACTGAAAAGAAAACTTGCAAAAATGAAGCTCTATCGGAGAAAAGGAAAATCAAAGCTGGTTGATGTCTCTCTCTTAATCTTGTCTGAATGTGAAACCTCTGGTATGCTACATGGCATCGGATGGATGCATCAAAGGTGTAGGGAAAATGGTTTGACTGTTGACAAAGAAACTGTAAGAATAGTGCTTGGTATCGTTGATCCTCGGGGTGTGAAACGTCGTAGTAAAAAAAAGAGCGCCGAAAGTACCTTTCATCAGGACCTAACGCTGTGTGGCATATCGATGGGTATGACAAATTGAAGCCCTACGGAATTTGCATTCATGGATGCATTGATGGATTTTCACGTAACATCATATGGTTGCATGCATGGAACACGAATAACAATCCATAGCTGGTAGCAAGTTATTTCATTGATGCTGTATCAACATATCAAGGATGCCCAGAGAGAGTGCGCTCTGATGCGGGGACAGAAAATATGCAATCCTTTCTGAGGAATGATCATGTGGACAGATCCCAAATGTCAGAAAGGTGGTCAAACTCTTCATATTTCAAGAAACCATGTCATCTTGTCAAACAGCTTCTTCAAAGTTTCTTATCAAGTTTGTTAAAGAACTAGAATCCGATATGTTGGCAAAGCTACTCAGATTTTGTACCGGTTCTGATCTCCTGCTAATCGATGCTTCTGGGAAGCAGAAATCCATCGCTGTGAGGGAATAGAACATCATCCTGTGGCTCACACCTGTGGTTATGTGCTGGAACTACCCGAGCAGTACGACAACTATCTTGAGTACAGGTCCGAATTCACGTCTGTGCTGAAGAGCGACATCTGGATAATGGACAGATCCATTATCAAGATGTCGCTCTGGATGCATATTCTCGCAGTGGAATATGAATACTGAAAGACAACACTATCCATGACACAATGGTGCTAAAGACCCACCTCCCTAAGTATTACAGAAAGTGGGAGCATGAGAGAACACTGCTAGTTTGAATACATTATTTCATCGACAGCCTTTCCAAAAATTGTGAGATTGCAAGTTTGACATTGTTTATCATTTTTTTAAAGTCCGTTGTTACAAAGTGCGCCCATCACTTCTGTTTTGACGCAAGTCCGTTGCGGCTGTGCATTGGGCTTTGTAA